ACCCTTCCACCCCGGCCGCTCGCAGCCGGCAGCGTGGGTGACAGCGCCGGCGCGGGACGGCAGGCGGCGGGCCACTCACCTAGCGCGGGCGCCTGGGGCTCCACGGCAAACGATGCCATCTGGACCGCGGCAACTACCGAGAAACCCAGGACCTTCCAATTTTTCAAAAATGGCGGAAACACCCCCACCCGCGGGCGGGGGCGCGCTACGTGCGCTGCTGCGTCACTTCCGGACGTGCGTGGTAGGCACCCTGAGGGGGCGGGACTCCTGGCATCGAGCGGGCGGTTCTTTCCCCTCTCTGCCTGGGAGTCCGGGAGGGTGAGTAGTCCGGGTTCGCAGGCAGGCCGAGCGCTGAGCCGGTGTGGAATCGGCTTCGGGGCATGTCTTGGGCACGCTGTCAAGCCTCCCGATGTGGTGGTGCTTGCATTTCATGAAGGCAAATCTTGCACTTTCCATAATCGACCTGACTTTCCCTTTGTCATGGGTCAGCTATGTCCTAGGCCAAATTTTGTCCTGAACACAGGACCCTTCCTCGTCAAGACATAATTTTCATCTGTATTCTAGTTCTTTAAAGAAAAAAGTTAGTGTTCTCTGGGCAGACTCACGTTAAAGCGTAAGTCTCAAGGGGAGTGCACGTTAATACACGCTCAACAGTATACCTTCGTAAGAGAATCAGGGCACCCCTGTGCTCTCCTAGCCTTGCTGGCCGCGTTCCTCCTCCTCTCACTTTGCTGCTTTTCCTTAAGGCTGGTCACGTATTGGTCACACACAATCTGTAACGTGTTTTAATTTTTTAATTTTATTTTTTACTTTTTAATTTTATTTTTTACAAACTTTATAAAATGCTGCATGTTCCATATTCTGGGATGCTCCGTAGTCCCAACATGAAATTCATGTTTCAAAAATAGCCACTTGTCCTATTTCCTCTGAGGCTTTCAAAAATCCTAAATCTAGAATGACTTTTGTCATTGAGATAATTCAATAGCAATTCCGGAATTATATAATAGGTTCTCAGACTTCATCATTTAAAACCATTTCAACTGACTTTTTAAAAATTTCATTGGGTATGTCCAATTCTGTTACCCAAAAGGTTGTGTTCAAGACTTACTCTTGTATCTACAAATGTGAGTTTACTTGGAAATAGTGACCTTGTAGATACAATAAAATTCAGATGTCATACTAGATTACCACCAATTTGGTAAGGAAAAATAACACAACTTTTTTATCTATGTACTTTAAAGGTCAGAAAAACAAAGTGAGTTTTATGGAATTAATAATCCACATGCCACTAACACTAGTGTCTTCTAGAGACATTAGAGGAGAAAATCTATCCTTGCCTTTTCAAGCTTCTAGAGGTTAATTGTAAACAAGGACATAAACCACAAAACTTAGGGGCATAGTCCACCTCAGCCCTATTTCAGTACCCAGTTGTAGTAATTAAAATAATAATCCAGGCCAGGCACTGTGGCTCAATCTGGTAATCTCAGCTACCTGGAGTCAGAAATCCAGTTGAAGGCCAGCCAATGATAGTAGGGGGATTTAGCTAAACTAAATCCCATCTCAACCAATAAGCCAGGCTTTGTTTATTGAGCAGCTATGTTCTCAGCTATGCAGGAGATATAGTAGGATAATTATGATCTGATTAATGTGCTGGCAAAAACACAATTCTTTACCTAAGTGACTTAAAAACACAAACATCTGTGTATATAGTATCATTAAGGATAGATAAATTTTGGGGAGGAGGGATAAAGATAGAGGTCCCTAAATAAAAGGTAAAATTGGAAAACATTTGCACTAAACTGAGAGAACAGAAAGTGGTTCATAAATTGGGTGATATAAGAAAGGCCTTTAGGGCTGGGAAGGTGGCTCAGTGGTAGAGCGCTTGCCTTGCATGCAGGAGGCCCTGGGTTTGATTCCTCAGCACCACATAAGAAAAAAGAAAAAAGCCGGAAGGGAAGTGCCGCTGTGGCTCAAGTGGTAGAGCGCTAGCCTTGAGCTAAAGAGCTGAGGGACAGCGCCCAGGCCCAGAGTTAATGCCCCACCACCGGACCAAGAAAGAAAGAAAGGCCTTTAACTTATTTCAAATGTTTGTGTGTGTGTGTGTGTGATTATAGATGTTACTATTTTCAGTACTTTTTAAATTAAGAAAATTTTCCCTTCAAAACCAAGTTATAACCAGGTACCCATTGGCTCATGCTTATAATCCTAGCTACTCAGAAGGCTGAGATCTGAGGATCATGGTTCAAAGCCAGCCCGGGGAAGGAAAGTCTGGGATTTTAAGATGAAAAATCCTTTAAAAGCATAGTGCAGATAACTAGGAAATACAATAGAACTTCTGTGGTTGAAGGAAAAAAAAAAACTTAGGAACAGGACTGGGAATGTGACTTAGTGGAGAATGCTTGCCTAGCTTGCATAAAGCCCTGGGTTCAATTCTTCAGCACCACATAACAGAAAAAGGCAAAAGCTGCACTGTGTCTCAAGTGGTAAAAATGCTAGCCTTGAGCAAAAGAAGCTTGGGACTGAGCCCAGGTCCTGAGGTCAAGCCCCAGGACTGGCAAAAAAAAAAAAACAAAACAAAAAACAAAGGAAAAAAAACCCATAGGAACCCATCAAGGCAGGGTTCTGTTGACTAATCTGTCCTCTAACAAGACAAGAAAGCTTAGATGGATAACCTCAAATTTTATTCTAGGCATACATATTTCAAATTTCTAAACTCTAGCAAATTTTGAAAAATCAGAAATATATAGTCTCAAATTTTCAATAACTTTGATACATTCACAACCAATCCTGTGTATGTCATATATACTGAATTTTCATTGACCTATTTGTAAATGTCTTCTAATGTGCAGTATTTATAAATATAAAATGAAATTGTTGTCCTTAAAATCTTTCTCAATCTGTTCTTTTTTTTTTTTGGGTCCAGTCGTGGGGCCTGAACTCTGGGCCTGGGCACTGTCCCTCAGCTCTTCAGCTCAAGGCTAGTGCTGTACCACTTGAGCCACAGTGCCACTTCCGGCTTTTTTCTTTTTCCTTATGTGGTGCTGAGGAATTGAACCCAGAGCCTCAGGCATGCAAGGCAAGGGCTCTACCACTGAGCCACCTTCCCAGCCCTTTCTCAATCTGTTCTATAAAACAATAATTTTAAAATATCAAAATGAAGGAAGAAGATATTCACCGTTAGTGAGATTTTAGAAAATGATGGAGTCAGTCATCTTCAGAAAGATGAAGGAAAGGGAATCTTTTATCATCCATATTGTCTTCATCTCTCCATTTGGTAGCTAGTATTTAGCATGGGCTGTTATTCACTTCAATTGTGACATCACACTGAAACCCCTAGAGATAACTGACTTCTCTGACTTCTCAGTGCCAAAGCACAATGATCTCTGAAATGCCTTCATAATGTTTGAGATGGAAGGATCATCCTGAGAAAATACAAGCCCCATTACTTGCTATTTGTATTATCTGATCTCTATAAATGTCTGGACCAATGTCTTCTCTTTTTTTCCTTTCTTTCCTTTTGTTGTTGTTGTGCCATTACTGGGGCTTAAACTGAGATTCTGGGTGATGTCCCTTAGTGTTTTTACTCAAGGCTAGTGCTTTACTACTTGAGCTACAGCTCTACTTCCAGATTTTTGGGTGGAGATGAGTCTCACTGACTTTCCTGTCCTGGCAGGCTTCAAACCAGATCTTCAAATCTCAGACTCCTCAATATCTATGATTACACCAGTAAGTCATCAGCACTCAGCTGTATCTTTAAGGTATTTTGTTTTGCAGCAGTCCTGGGGCTAGAATTCCAGGCCTGAGCACTGTCTCCGAGCTGCTTTTACTCAAGGCTAGTGTTCTATCACTTGAGCCACAGATCCATTTCTGGCTTTTTTAGTAGTAATCAGAGATAAGAGTCTCAAGGACATAAGTGCTCAGGCTGAACTGCCATCCTCAGATCTCAGCCACCTGAGTAGCTAAAATTTCAAGTGTGAGCAATTGGCACCTGAGTATGGTACACTTCTTTTTTGGGAAATTATTACTACTTCAGTTTTATTGCTCATTATATATGTTTATGTGGTTGAGGTCTTCTTGAGTAATGTAGGTCTAGAAATGTATCCATTTTTTCTAGATTTCCAGTTTATTAGAATGTTTTCAAATTTTTCCTTAATGATCTTATGAATTTCATTAATATCTTGTCTAATTTTATTAACTTGGGTCTTGTTTCTCCTTCCTCCAGTTACATTGTCAATATTCACAATTTTTGAATGCTTGCTTTGAATTCATACATTTTTGAATGCCTGTTATATAACATATTAAAAATCATGTCAAGTCTAAGCTTTGATGAAAAACAATAAAGTATGCATAATACAAAAACTATGTTCATTCTTGCAGAAAAAATGGGAATAAGACATAAAAAGTATTAGGGATCACACAATTTTAAATAACATAGTCATGAAATCTTTACTAAGTAGATAAGATTCAAATATAAATCTAGTATTTCTGGGGAGAAAGTGACCCAAGCACAGGGTATAGCAGGGGTAAAGTAGAGGTCTCAATTATGTTTTCAAGGAATAGAACAAAAAGCCAAGGTGGTGAAGCTGAGGAGTGGTCAAGCTGTACATAATTGTGTAAGTCTGTAATTCCAGCACTGGGTAAGGTGAGGCAAGAAGTCTTTGAGTTCCAGGTCAGTCCAAGCCACATAGTGAGACCCTGTCTCACAAAAAAAAAAAAAAGGCCAGGTGCTGGTGGCTCATGCCCATAATCCAGCTACTCAGGAGGCTGAGATTTGAAGATTGAGGTTCAAAGACAGCCCGGGCAGGAAAGCCTATAAGACTCTTATCTCCAATAAACCACTAGAAAACTGAAGTGGTGCTGTGGCTCAAGTGGTAGAGTTCTCATCTTGAGCTGAAGAGCTGAGGGACAACACCAAGGCCCAGAGTTCAAGCCCCACAGTTGACAAAAAAAAAAAAGTGCAGATTTAAAAAACTACCTCCTGAGGTCAAAGACATAACAACAAGCAAGTATGGTGCTAAGTGCCAAACTGTGCCATGTAGTTTAAAACAATCATGCACAGAAAATCCATTAGTTCAATAATTTGTTTACTAAAAGTACTTAAATTTCACTTTTAAGTAGTTGTACAAAATTTCAGCAAGTCAGATTATGAGTACAAAACATCTTAATCAATGTCACCCCAACTAATTTTTAATTTAGAATTTGATAGCAAATAAGATATTTTGTCCTCAACAAAATACATTAACAGGAGAAATATATAAGTACACAACACCTAGAAACAATAAAGGGAACATTATGAATATATACACAAAACAATGTATACAAAACAAGTCAAGGCTATAGTTGAAATAGAAAATGTTAACTATGTTATTTTTTAAAGCATAGCAATGGAAACAAACCACACATGCAGAGTAAAAATGCTATTGTATGTACTTCAAGAACATAAAACTTCAAAATCTTCTGGTTTAAAATGCTATATAACTACTGGATGTCCAAGTCTCTTGAGAATCTCTTAGGCAGGAAAATTAACAATTGAGAGTCATGTTGAAAAAGTAAAAATGCATCATCATGCTACATTTTTTATGTTTAAATGTATTGTGGTTTTATAAAGGTAATTCTTCACTGAGCTAACACAATGGTTGTCATTATATAAAGATCCTATTTATATATGGGACATTGAATAATATTTCCAGAAAAGACATTTTTGGGGGAACTTTCTATATACATTTCATCAACTGAAGTTCCTAGTAACCATGGCGACAGGTTTCCCTAAACCATTAACATTATATATTAGAATCAAAGGTTCCTTAGTGTATGCACATACATTTCTATGCCTCCTTCAAGGTTGTAGAGAGGGAAGGCAAGTATAATTTCAGTAAAAGCATTTAATACTAATAACACAATTTCCTCTGAAATCTTTTCCTGGAGTTAGTACACTGGTCTAAATTTTGTCCTTAAAAAACTTCTAGAACTAGATACTTTCAAAAAACCTAGATGTTTTAAGTTTTACGATTCCAATTATATGCAACTACAATCCTATATATTAAATCATAATTAGAAAGCTTTTTTAAGACTAAAGGAGGGGCTGGGAAGGTAGCTCAGTGGTAGAGTGCTTGCCTTGCATGCATGAGGCCCTGGTTTGATTCCTCAGCACCACATAAGCAGAAAATGCCAGAAGTGGCACTGTGTCTCAAGTGGTAGTGCGCACAGGCCCCACAACTGACCAAAAAAAAAAAAGACTAAAGGATACTCAGGGAGGTACAATGCCTTGTTGCCTCTGATAATATTTATTGAAATGAACTCCAGAGGCTGGGAAGGTGGCTCAGTGGTAGAGTGCTTGACTTGCATCCCTGAGGCCCTGGGTTCAATTCCTCAGCACCACATAAGCAAAAAGAAAAAAGCCGGAAGTGGCGCTATGGCTCAAGTGGTAGAGTGCTAGCCTTGAGCTGAAGAGCTGAGGGACAGCGCACAGGCCCACAGTTCAGGCCCCATGACCAGACCCAAAAATAAAAAGAAAAAAGAAAAAAGAAATGAACTCCAAGAAATGGAGACAGTTTTTCTTTTCTCTTTTTCTCTTTTTGCCTTGTTTCTTCATTTATCTGTCTTTGGTAAGGGGAGGGGGAAGAGGGCACAGAAATGAGGGACAAAGAATGAACAAATGCAGCAGTGGTACTCAGTTGAAAATGAACTATACAACTTGTGGGCAGGGACAGGAAGGAAAAACGGAGACAGCAATGGAAGGGTTAACTTGTCCAAAAACAAACATACTCATTATCTGGCTTAAGGAACAGTAACTCCTCTGTACATTACCTTTATAATGACAATAAAATTAAATTTTTTAAAAATTTATTTGCGTGTGTGTGTATGCAGGTTCTTCTACTTGAACTCAGGAACTCACACTTTTGCTTGGGTTTTTCTGCTCAAGGCTGGTACTCTTCCTTTAAAAATTGGTAGGAAAATCTATTCATTGATTTTTAATTCCTTTTTGTGTTAGTACTGGAACTTGAACTCACAGCCTATAAGCTGTCCCTTATCTTTTAGCTCAAGGCTAGTGCTTTGCCACTTGCACCACACCTCTACCTCCAACTTTTTGTTGATTATTTAGAGATAGGACTCTCATGGACTTTCCTGCCGAGGATGACTTTGAACCACAGTCCAGATTTCAAGATTCCTAAGGAGGTAGGATTACAGAGGTGAGTCAGTGGTGCCTGGATGGAAAATCTATTTTTAAAATAAAAAGATTAAAACAAAAACTACATGAAATATTTTTACCTCACTCAAAACAGACTCATATGTGATATATATGTTTTTCACTTATAATATATAAGTAAATATCATAATGAAAATGTTGTTTCCTAAAAATAATGAGGGCAGGCATAGTGGTACACACTTGTGAACTCAGCTACTCAGAAGTAAGAGGTAGGAGATAGTGGTTCAAAAGCAGCCAGGGCAAAGGAAGAGATTCTATCTGAAAGAGAAAAAAAAAAGACTGGAAGTATGGCTCAAGAGGTAGAGTAAGAGGGCTGGGAAGGTGGCTCAGTGGTAGAGCGCTTGCCTTGCATGCCTGAGGCCCTGGGTTCGATTCTTCAGCACCACATAAGAAAAAAGAAAAAAGCCGGAAGTGGCGCTGTGGCTCAAATGGTAGAGCGCTAGCCTTGAGCTGAAGAGCTAAGGGACAGCGCCCAGGCCCAGAGTTCAGGCCCCACGACCAGACCCCCCCAAAAAAAGATAAAAAAACAAGGTAGAGTAAGACACTGAATTCATTCAGTCCCTGGTAGCATATACACATACACACACACAAACACACAAAATAAATAAATGATTAGGTAAGCCACAGTGTTATCTCCATGGAAAGTACAATAAACACACTGTATCTGCATCCTTGTCTTGCACAGGGCCCTCAATTTAAAAAACTCAATCCCATCTAGTGACTTATTTTAAATATAGCAAACTATCATTATGTCTAAAAAAATGGTATTTCCTTATGAAACATTTCCCACGGGCCTATGGAAACCAAAAAAATAAAAAAATGAAATCCAACAATAGAATGCTAAGCACCCAAGGAACAAAAGCCCAAAACATAAAGGAATATGACAAATAATAAGTTCACAGTAACATGAGAGAGCTTCTTTTTTTTTTTTTTTTTTTTTTTTTCGTGGGGCTTGAACTCTGGGCCTGGGCGCTGTCCCTCAGCTCTTCAGCTCAAGGCGAGCGCTCTACCATTTGAGCTACAGCGCCACTTCTGGTTTTCTGGTGGTTTATTGGAGATAGGAGTCTCACGGTCTCTCCTGCCCGGGCTGGCTTTGAACCGCGATCCTCAGATCTCAGCCTCCTGAGTAGCTAGGATTACAGGCGTGAGCCACCAGCGCCCGGCTTATGAGAGAGCTTCTATATAAACATTGCAAAATAAATGAAACAATTTTAAAAATCAAAATGAAATGTACATATGTTTTCATAAGAAGATTTAAAACTTTTCTAAACACTGTAACCACTACATATTAAATAAACCTTAAGATTCCAATACACTCTGGGAGTTGGAAGGTATTCATATTTTTTAAATTAATTTTTTATTGTAAAAATGTACAGAGGGGTTACAGTTACATGAGTAGGGTAATGAGTATATTTCATTGAGTAGGGTAATGAGTACATTTTCCCCCTACCATCACTTCCCTCCCCACATCCCCAATTCTTCCCGCCCCCCCACCCCAACATTATAAAGTTCATTTTCAATATAGTGTCCTGTAAGAAGGTATTCATATTTTAACTTTAAAATTCTTTACCAAAAAATTTACTTCTTTCAAAAATAGAAGTCAAGTAGCCCTTTCAGGTTTTTGCTTTATTTAGTTGGATGCTGTGATAGAAAATGATAAAAGGCCTCATTAACTGATTTATTCTTTCTGTAATATAGCCTTGAAATGTAAGCCTTTTTCTTCTATAAACATCAAAGAAACACACAAATATTATAGTAACAAAGAGAAAGCAGTATAGTTTTTCAACTGTATTCAGACACTAATTCAGAACAAATTGACCCTCATTTCCACTTGTTAAAAGCAAGTTACTTGTTTACTCTCCCCAAAAGAGGAAAGATGGCTGCCAATACCAATTCAGAAATTACATTCGTCCATCATCTGTTAGAATGAAACTCATGAGCTATTGCTCTTTCCCAATTCTGGTGTGTCAGCACACAAACTGCTTGCCTTGCCCTCTTGATAGGTCTGAAGCTGCTCCATGAAGCCAGAATTTGGACAGATGGAAGGCCTTGCATTTTTCACGAAAGAAAATGCACCAGGAAAGGAGATTTCTTCAGAATACATCAGAAAGCCTATTACAATTGTGGCAGCCCTGGAAACTCCTGCATTACAATGAACAAGAACCACACCATCCTGAAATAAAAGCAAAGTTATGAAATATTAATGTAAGATTATTAAATCAATTATGCATAATCTTATACTACTTACAATTATGAAGCATATGTTGTATTTTGTCTAGACTTACTTTATTTTCAAAATATAACTAATTGCAACTAATGAATTTAAAAAATTAATTAATAGAACCAACACTGCTTCCTCTCAGGATTGAAAGGCTATGACCATGTATTTGGAATTGTAAAACAGTATAATTAATAAAACAAAAGTAATGGGGCTGGGAAGGAAGGTGGTAGAGTGCTTGCCTTGCATGCATGAGGCTCTGAGTTTGATTCCTCAGTACCATATAAACAGAAAAAGCTGAATGTGGCACTGTGGCTCAAGCGGTAGAGCGCTCGCCTTGAGCTGAAGAGCTGAGGGACAGGGCCCAGGCCCAGAGTTCAAGACCCACAACCAAAATAACTAAAAAAGTAATCTAGTAAAGTGTACATAAAAGTATAAAAACTGTAGTTGCTATTAAGCATATCAACAGCCCATGTATATGAGTAAGAGAAAAACCACCTGGAATATACAAATGGAAACATAAGACATAATCACAAACTAAACAGAAAGCCAGAAACAGTACAAAGTATATATTCTCATGAGGAAATTAATGCCACTGGCTTGGACATCTATGTATAAAAATCAGCAAAGCCGGGCACTGGTGACTCATGCCTGTAATCCTAGCTACTCAGGAGGCTGAGAACTGAGGATCGTGGTTCAAAGCCAGCCCAGGCAGGAAAGTCCACGAGACTTTTTGTTGGGGGGGTGGGGTCCAGTCATGGGGCCTGAACTCTGGGCTGGGGCACTGTCCCTCAGCTCTTCAGCTCAAGGCTAGCACTCTACCACTTGAGCCACAGTGCCACTTTTGGCTTTTTTCTTTTTGCTTATGTGGTGCTGAAGAATCGAACCCAGGGCCTCATGCATGCAAGACAAGCGCTTTACCACTGAGCCACCTTCCCAGCCCAAGTCCATGAGACTCTTATCTCCAATATGCCACCAGAAAACAGGAAGTGGCGCTGTGGCTCAAGCAGTAGAGCTGGAGAGCTCAATGACCAACCCCCCTACTCCTCCCCCGCAAAAAAATCAGCAAGGAATTGGGTATTGGTGAGCTGGGTATTGGTGACTAACACCTGCAATTTGGCCTACTCAGAAACCTGAGATCTGAGGACTGAGGTTCAACACCATTCCAGGCAGTAAAGTATGTGAGACTCCTTTCCAATTAACCAGGAAAGAAAAAAGAAAGAAAGCGAGGGGGGGGGGAGGAAGGAAGGAAGAAAGAAGGAAGGAAGGAAGGAAGGAAGGAAGGAAGGAAGGAAGGAAGGAAAACAGCAGAACTATGGCTCAAGTGGTAGTGCTGACCTTGAGAAAAAAAGAAAAGGGAAAAAGGGACAGCACTTAGGCCCCAAGTTTAAGCCCTATTACTGGCATACCCACACCAACACACCCATACACATATATACACAACTCAGCAAGGAATGTTTTCCCCACATTGGATTACTTTATTCTGGATGCTAGCATCTTAAAAACATTTGTTTATGACTCAGTAAAATGGTTAGATCATGAACAGCTCATGACAACATGAAGTAAAAAGGTAATCAGACACCAGCACAAGGTGAATAAATGAAAAACGTTTCAGGTAACTTGAAAATAATACTTTCCACTTGAAAAGGGACACAGTGCAGACCAATGCTGATGGGGCAATATTGCATGAATAATGAATGTGACAGATCTGATGGGATGGCACTGATACAGCTTGGCCCGCCTCAGGCTTTTGAAAAGTTAATGATCTAAATGAAATGTGGTGAACTGGGAGCACCTCTCACTCCATTTTGCAAACAACAAAGGAAAAGAATAGGGGGGAAGGAGGAGGAGGAGGGGGAGGGGGAGGGGAGGGGGAGGAGGAGGAGGCCACACAATATCATTGAAATGATTCATTGGCTTATTTTCTGTTTGCAAGGCAGTTTTCTCACATTTATGTATCTGTTTATACAATTCTTTTCTTTGATCCCTTGTAACAAACTGGCAAGTGCATTTCTTTTCAAAGATGACTAACAACAAAGTTAGTTAATAATTTGAAAATTATATCAAAAAAGAAAATCTTAACTATTTCCAATAGGTATTTATGATTCACCTTCAAACTTTTTCTGCACAAGGAAAACAAAACAGCAGTTTCTATATCCATCCTGAACTTCCCTCACTTTGCAACAACAGCTCATTTTAAAAACATGAGGTTTAAGAACTTTATCCAGGAAATTGAAACAGTAGGGATTTTTCTTTGTTGCTGTTTTTATTTTCTTTTATTTTATGTGTTCATTTTTCTGTCTTTGGGAGAGTGGGGGGGGGGGACAAAGGGTGAACAAATGCAGCAGTGGAACTAACTAGACACTATATTGAAAATGAACTATACGACTTGTGTGTGGAGACAGAAGGAAAAAATTGGAAGAGAGTGATGAAAGAGATGACATTGTCCAAAAAGAAATATACTCATGGGGCTGGGAAGGTGGCTCAGTGGTAGAGCGCTTGCCTTGCATGCCTGAGGCTTTGGGTTCGATTCCTCAGCACCACATAAGAAAAAAGAAAAAAGCCGGAAGGGAAGTGCCGCTGTGGCTCAAGTGGTAGAGCACTAGCCTTGAGCTGAAGAGCTGAGGGACAGCACCCAGGCCCAGAGTTCAGGCTCCACGACCAGACCCAAAAAAAACAAAAACAAGTTAATCATATATTCCAGAGAAACTTGTAATATTATTTTCTTTTCCTTTGCTACTTGCTTTGTATAACAACTGTTTTCTACATTTGTGTGTGTGTGTGTGTGTGTGAGAGAGAGAGAGAGAGAGAGAAAGATTGCAGGTATTCATCATTATACCTGGCTTCTATGACTTTTGACTTACCTACTTTTTATGTTATTATTCCTAGGTATCATGTGAGCCTGGAAAATATTTCCAGAAAATAATTGTCATTATATTCCCTTTCTCAAACTCAAAATTGTGATTTAAAAAAAGTTTATAAAGCAACTTTTTCCTTTGTGCTTGCTGGTGTCTTCTGCCTGGAAGACCTTTGAGTTTACTGGTACCAGGAAATGGCGCTGTGGCTCAAGCGGTAGAGTGCTTGCCTTGAGCTGAAGAGCCCAGGGACAGCGCCCAAGCCCAGAGTTCAAGCCCCACAACCAACCGATCAAAAACAAAAAAAAAACTGGTACCACTAACTTTGGCTTTGGTACTAAGACTCTTTCCAAATGAGATGAGGGCAGAAAGTGTATCTTATCTATCTTTGAGTCAAATTCTTGGCACGTATTAAGTATTCCACAAATATTTGATGAGAGAATAAATTAATCTGTTGTTCATTTCTGTGATGAAATATGATGCCTCAAAACTTCAAATCACCATTTCCATTTCACTGAAGACATATAGTGATGTATATGCAGGCATATAGTAACACATATGAACACATAGACATATAGTAATGTAGATGTAGATGTAATCATGTACAGAATGCTATGAGACTCCTACTTTAGTTTGCTGTCTTAACTACTGTCACTACCTAGGGATGGTGATCTTTTGAATTAACCATCAGTTCATAATCCTTGACACTCTTTAAGAAATCCAAGCTAAGAACTACTCTAGTGCTCCAAACTAAGGAAAATTTTGTGTTTATAATATTTTTAAATTCCAAAACTTATTAATTATTCAATTTCCCACTCTTCTTTTTTAGATTCAATTTTACTTGCAGCATGTATATCCCTTCTCATTTTAGTATGAATATAGATGATATTTACCACCTAAGGCATACTGTATATCTCCTCTGAGGAAAAACTAACTCAGAAGCCTTTCATTTAACTCTACTTTCTGGTGCATTGCAATGTTGCCATCTATATATCTATATAAACGTATAGATATATATCACCTATACACATACATATATAGAGAGTATATATATATATATATATATATATATATATATATATATATATGAGGGAGAGAGAGAGAGACTTAGAGGTGTGCACCATCACATCTGGCTATAGCATATCACATTTTTCATTAAATAACAGAATGGTTAATATTAGGCCAAAGGGAGAAAGAGGAAAAAAAGGGAAAGAAAGGAAGTTGAAGTGAAACCATGAAATCAGAATTCAAACTGGATTCAAACCTGTCTTTGCTAGGTGTTCCAGGGGAATTATTTCTCTTTATTACTGATTTTACATCCCTCATCCACCTATTTTATGTACATTTTGTAAGATTTACTAAGTAAATATGATGCCATTTCAAAGCCTAATTATTGATAACAGCCTGCTTAAAAGCCCCATCAGTGTTGACATAGCTTCAACACCAAGCCTGAAATATTTTGTTTGTCTTCTTAAAACACAAAATCCAATGAACAGCTTCTGGTTAACATTTTCATACAATCAAAATAAAGCAATGGATGTTTAGTCCCCAGAGAGACTTACAAATTTAAAAATTATTTTCAAATTCCTTAATAAATAATCCCTATCATCATAAAAGTATTGACAAGACAAAAAGCAGTCTCTACCCTCTGGTCCATAGTTATGTTACAAATTATTCAGAGGGAAAATGATTACATGCCCTCAAAGGAAATCTAAATACATATTTATATAGGGAAATTCAGCAAGTTGGAAATTTTATCTCCTAATCTATTTCAGTAAGGCATAAGATAGAAGCTGAATTAATGTAAAAAAGTAAATTTCTCAGTAAGTAAAGAGCAATTATAGAACTGAAAGAACTGATGGAGTTAATGAACACTTTTGAAGGAAAATTTTCATAATGGTTCTTCTTAAATTCGTCACTAAGAAAAAAAATTGCTAGCTGACCAATCCTTTCAAAAGAAAATCCTTTGAAGAACTGTGGATCAAAATGAAGCTTACCGGGCTGGGATGTAGCTCAGTGGCAAAGCGCTTGCCTAGCAAGTGCAACGTCCTGGGTTCGATCCCCAGTACCAAAAAAGAAAAGACAAAAAAAAATACAGTTAAAAACAAAAACAAAAAAAAAACAAACAAAATGAAGCTTACCTTCATTTTTGCTTGTTCAATAAATTCAAAGCATTCTGGAAAATAAGACAGGATATTGGTCTCAGGCAAATCCAATATAGAAATGTTCTTGTATGTAAACTCACTGAGGAAAGCATTTTCAATTCCATATGCAACATTGAGAATATGAGTCACCTTAAAGAGAAGAAAAAAAAGATGATTTTTTTCAAAGTCCCTTAAGTTAGGTTATATAAAAAGAAGCTGTGATATTGGCATCTGTAAAAAGAAGAAGAAATTTCCAACATGACTCCCTTGATTGAAATTTCCTCCTGGAAGCTTTCTCAGGCTACAATGTCGCCTACCAGCAGTCTTCCCTCTGTACATTCATAGCCCCTATGCTTGCTCCCCTAACTTACATAGTCTCCTCCCACTTACATTGTCTCCCTCACTAGGTACTCCAGGAAGTTACTATTATAAGCACTGCAAGCCTAGCAGAAAGCACTTTACATACATGTTACATAAATCAGTGAATATCCATATAAAAACGTATGCATTATATCCATATAAAAACTTATGCATTATATCCATATAAAAACTTGTATCTGTGGTATACGACTCTGCTTTCAATGATTATTCTGCTATTTTCCTTCATATTCTTTACTAGTAAAATGGTTCTTGAGTGTGGCTGAACAAAGAATCATCTGATGAGCTTTTAGAAACTATTAATGCCACAGAGCCACAGCTCCAAAGATTCTGATAAATTTATCTGGCTGAGCAGGGAGGTTGGCAGAGGGTAAGAAGATTTTACTTCATCTCTGTTTTGAGCTCCTTTCCTATCTTGTAAAGGTGACTTACAGGAAGTCCATTAAGTAACCTGGCAGGATGACAGATAGATACCTGTAGCCCCAGGTACTTGGGTGGTTGAGACAGTTATGACAATTGAACCCAGGCATTCTAGACTGTGGACTACACAGCAAGACTCTGTCTCAAAAGCAAACAAACAAAATCATTAAGAAGAATCAGTGCTATGTGCATAGCTTAGTGGTCAGTGATTACCTAGCATTAATGAAGCCCTGAAAGTTCAAGAGGAAGAGAGAGGAAAAAAAAAGAGAAATGGAGGGGAAGGGAAGGAAGAGAAAAGGAAGGAAGGGAAGGGGAGAAAGGGAAGGGAGGGAAAGGGAAAGGAGAGAAGAAGGTGCCAAAAGCTAAATGGTTCAGAAAATCATAAATATAGGTATAAAAATATTACTCAATGTATTTATTCTATTTGTTTCTTAGCATAAGTCTGAGGTATAACCTAGTCTCCATATTTCATATACTTCTCATTATTTTCATATATTTCATATATTACAATATCTGTCTAGCCCTGCCTCTCTTCCCTTCATGACCCTCACATTTACGCTCTGAAAGTATCTACTTCTCACCCTTGCTACACAGCTGACTAGACTTGGGAGATTTAAGAGAAGAGCCAAGCCGGGCACTGGTGGCTCACGCCTGTAATCCTAGCTACTCAGGAGGCTGAGATCTGAGGATCGAGATTCAAAGCCAGCCAAGGCAGTCCGTGAAACTCATAAACACTCAGAAAACCGGAAGTGGTGCTGTAGCTGAAGTGGTAGAGCACTTGCTTTGAGCTGAAGAGCTGAGGGACAGTGCTCAGGCTGAGTTCAAACCCCATAACCAACAAAAAAAAGAGAGAGAGAGAGAGATTAGAGTCAAAGTTAAAATGATTATCTTTAGAAATTTTAAAATAAGGTTAAAAGATAGCTATTGTGATCCACAAACTTGGACTCTGAAACAGTCCTTTTCTATTAAGTGCTCAGGGAAAGTGAAGAATTCCTGCTACACAAAGAGATGAATGGAGTCGATGAATAGTGAGGGACATGGGAGAGAAGGGCTCTCCTGGATGGCCTTCCTATTCCCTAGTCCCAGGCCCTGGCATGGCTACCCTGCCCCCTGTATTCCACAGTATGGGTTTACTATTGTCTCTTTAGTAAGTTCTTTATGGAAGGGCAGGTCAGTATTTTCAATAATTTGCTATTTTGTATAATATTGAAATTTTAAAGTGGAACATTTTATGTTACATTTAGTATTCTATTTTCCAAAGTGCTTTATTAGGTGGACACCAGATGCTCATGGAACACCTCATTCTAATCCAACTGTTACCATTTATAAACGTTAAAATTAAATTCCTGAAATAGACCACCACAAGAGAAGTCCTACTAGTTACAATACTTAATCAAAATTCTAAAGCATTGCTTTAAAATGTGCCCCAGCATTTCTGCAGAATCCTTAATTATTCCAGAAACCTCTGCTCAGCAACTCAGTTTAGTTTTGTTTCCTCAAGCTTTGAATAACAAGGTTGTTTGATTACAAGAGCTTACAGCATATTCTCATTTCACATCACTAGGTAGAGCTGAGTTTGAACTACTGGGTCATTAAAAAGGTGATTTTTTTTTTTTTTTAGGTTGTGGAGCTTGACTCTGGGCACTGTCCCTGAGCTTTTGCTTAAGGCTAGAACTCTACCACTTTAAGCCACATCTCCACTTCCTGTTTCCTGGTAGTTAATTAGAGATAAGAGTCTCTTGGGATTTCCTGCCTGGATTAGCTCGGAACCAAATCTCTAGCTCTCAGTCTCCTAAGTAGCTAGGATTACAGAAGTAAGCCACCAGTGCCTTGCAGGGTGAGACAATTAAAAAACAAAAACAAACAAAAATAAACCACTTGATAATACAAAAATTCTATTTGTTATTTTACCCTATGGAATACTAAAGTGTTAGTAGAAGCAAGACTTTGAAATTTATTTTTCCTTTGTTAAAATATTGGTATTTGAGAACCCTCTTAAGAAATCCACTGTAAGCAGGTTGTTAATGGCTTATGCCCATTATCCTAGCTGTTCAGGAGGCTGAGGTCTAAAGATGGGGGTTCAAAGCCAGCCTTGTCAGGTAGGTCCATAAGACTTGTCTCCAACTAACTACCAAAAAACCAGAAGTGGGAGAGAGGCTCAAGTGGTTGTCAGCCTTGAACTAAAATAGCAAGCAAGAGCTTGAGGCCCAGAATTCAAATCATAGTATCAATAGAAAAAAATGCAATCAGTGACCCTCCTATTCTTTATTTAATTTAGGCCATTATTTCTCATTGTCAGATGGTAATAGTTGGTAGCAAAATCAGTTTAAACACAAATCAGTAAACTGACAAGTAAAAATATCAGACTAGTACAAATTAAGTACACATATATGTATATATATATTACATATATCAGACTAGTAAATTCATTGGTTACAGGCTATTTATTTTCCTTAGAAAAATAATTGTCTTTATTATATATAATTTTACCTTCAATACAAACTAAAGTTTTTTTTTTTCTTTCAGTCCAAAGTCCACTTCCCCTACACCTGTCCAGCAAAATTTCATTTTATTCCCAGACTACAAAGCATTGCTGGAGAAAAGCAATACAGTTCTGCATTTCATGCTTACCAAAAATTATTAGAGAAACCCCTCTGGACTTGCATCAGGGTTTAGCAACTCTATCTTCCTAGCGGGTTCTGTCCTTCATTCTGTGCCAATTCCTTCGAACTTTCCCCGTCTTCTACAATCTTTCAACTCTACCACCTCTTCATAATTGACTTCTTTATAGTAAAAAGAGAAGCCATCACATAAGAATCTGTACCTCTCCCCATCAAATCTACACTTACCTACACCTATACTCCTTCTTTTTGTGTTCTTATTACAAGAAATCATCTGCTCCTGCAGCCTTTTAAATACTCATTCTAGTACCTATGCTTGCATAACACTGAGTCCTACTTTCTTGGCATCTCGTTCTATTTATAATTCTTGCTTTTTTTTTTTTGGTCCGTCATGGGACTTGAACTCGGGTGCTGGGCACTGTCCCCAAGCTCTTCAGCTCAAGATGAGTGCTTTACCACTAGAGCTACAGCAGCACTTCCGGTTTTCTGATGGTCAATTAAAGAGTCTCATGAACTTTCCTGCCCAGGCTGGCTTTGACCAGAGATCCTCAGATCTCAGCCTCCGGAGTAACTAGGATTATAGGAGTGAACCACCAGCTCCCAGCTTAATTCTTGCTTTTTTATGTTCCATTCTTTCCTGTACATGAGCCTTAAAATATGCTCAAAATGCTCCCATATTCCACAATTACAGCTTCTCTCGGGTTCTTTTTTTCCTTCACAAGCAAGACTCTTTTATTTTACATGATGAAAGATCTAAATTTTAAATAGTTCCTTGGATTGGTGATTCATGTCTATCAGCTCATTCTTTTTCAGCCTAAATCATAGTCTGCCATATATTTTTTGATCATGGTACACTTGGTCATGCTATGGTCTATTCCATGAACATAAGTCAGTCAGGTTTTTTTCCTGGCCGTGCTCAGGAATTAGCTTGAATGTCTACATAAAATTCTATTCTGCACCTTAGTCAACCCCTGAAGCATCACATTCAATTCTGGTTTCTTGATTCCTTTTATTGAACATGCTGTTCTTTTCATATCATACTAACCTTTCTTAGACAACAGATCATCTACTTTCCTCTTAGCTCCCTTTTTGTCAACTTTGGTAAAATGTTCTTGCCAATCATCATGGTGCTAGTCAGACAACCAAAAGGTTACCTCTCTAGTTCTTAATTTTTTGAAACCTTAATCTAACATAACTTAATTCTATTTATACTTAAACTTCCCAGCATGTGACACTGACAACTCTTTTCCTTAAAATTTTCTCTTTTGGCATCCATGATCTGTTTTGACATTTCTATTACCTTTCATAACTTCTCTTTTACCCTTTAGATTCTTCTTCCTTGATCATACCTTACAGATCAGTATCACACCACTTACCAGTTCTAATAGTCTTCCACAAAGGCCTTCTCTATTTGCATTAAACAGTTCTGAAAGTGATTTCACTGGCCAAATGATTTCAATTGCTGTTTATAATTTACTATTACAAATATCTTCTTCCTGCACTAAGTCTCTATATGCAAGTACTGTCCATTAAACTGTACTTAGATGGTCTACAGCATCTGAAATTAAAAATGAGCAACACCAGCCAAGTGGTGGCCCACATCTATTATTCTAGCGCACAGGAGGCTAAGGCAGGAGAAATCTGAATTTGAAGCTAAACTTTATGAGCACAAGAATCTCTTATGCTATTCAAGCCATAGCAATTCCATAACCTGACATATTTCTTGACACAATGATAGCAAAAATTTCTTTTTGTGTAAATACTGAAAATAAGGAATAAGTCATATCAGCTGTGTGCAGGAGGATGGGAGGAAATAGTATCAGAAAAGAAATGGTATATGAATTGGTACTCAAGGCATGATACATCTTTGGCAAGCAGAGATGAGAGAAAGTCTCTCTTACATAGAAGAATTACTTAAGTGGAGTCAAAAAAATGCACTTCCAAGGGTAAATTATGAGATTACACAAATAGATTGAGAAGAATGTAGATCCACATATGTTTATTAGCTATAATTACTTTTTAATAGTCAAAAGAGTAACAGACAAAGATTTTAAAAGATGGACCATGGCTTTTTTTTTCTTTGCTTTATTTTCCTCTCTTTGTGTCTCTGTGTGTGTGTGTGTGTGTGTGTGTGTGTGTGTGTGTGTGTGTGTGTGTGTGTCAGTTGTGAGGCTTGAACTCAGGGCCTGGGTACTATCTCTGAGCCTCTTTGTGCTTGCTTAAGGCTAGTGCTCTACCAGTTGAGCCACAGCATCACTTCCAGTTTTTACGTGGTTAATTGGAGAAAACAGTCTCAAGGGGACTTTTCTGCCCAGGCTGGCTTCAAACCTCGATCCTCAGATCTCAGCCTCTGAGAAACTAGGATTACAGGTGTGAGCCACCGGTGCCCAGCTCGCTTTTTTTAAAAAAATTAATTATATATACAAAGGAACTTCCCTAAGTAAATATAAAAATTAAAATATTTCTTAAAGGTAGGGCCAAACTTAAAGCATTTTTACCTTGTACTTTCTCAGTGTATCCAGATCATGAGCAGCATCTTGTGACCCTAAAAGAAATAAATCATATCAAGTTGAACATAAATCTCATTACCTCACTTTTTATTTAATGTATTCAACAATTCTGTTGAATATGTGTGTGTATGTGTATCCAACAACTTGTGAAGATTTCACTGTAGTGATTGGCAGTATTCTTCATAAAGTATTAGTAATATTCTTCAGACATGCTTTAGATTTTCCACATCTAAGAATGTATCTTAAAACTTAACAGATGTTGTAATAACTACCTATAGGGATTTCATCATACTATTGTTTGAATCACAACAAACAGAAATAAAACAAACAAAAAAGGAATTAAAAACCCCAATATAGCTGGGCGGCAGTGGGTCATACCTTTAATTCTAGCTACTCAGGAGACTGAGATCTGAGGACTGTGATTTGAAGGCAGCCAAGGCAGGAAAGTCTATGAGACTCTTTTCTGCATTAAACAACCAAATAAGCAAGAAGTGAAGCTGTGACTCAAGTGGTAGAGTACCATCCTTGAGCAAAAGATGCTCAGGGACAGCACCCAGGCTCTGAGTTCAAGTCCCAGGATTGGTACACACACACACACACACACACACACACACACACACACACACACACACACACATCCTACTGTAGAAGCTGAGTTAAATAAAAAGCAGTACATATTGGTATGTGTACCTGGAGGATCTAGACAGTCATGTCCAACTGAACTGCTTAATACTTTGCTTTTTGCTTATATATTTTTTCTGTAATTCACATGTTAAATAAAGGTTATTTTTTAAAGCAGTACAATTACATAATGAAATATATACAGCCTTCAGATCCATTAAAAATAAGAAAAATATTTATGGTATAGATATTTGTTCTTAATATTTTAAGTCATAAGTCAGTTATAAAATATCATTATATATTTTTATAAAAGCCCAAAATATGTATATCCTCAAGAATGGCCAGGAAGAATACAGAACACGAAGTGTAGAGTCTCAGGTAATTTTTTTCTTCTTAAATTTACTTTTTTCTGGTTGTTGCTGTTGTTTCTATGTCTGTCTATAGCCTTGAACTTAGGGCACTATTTGTTTGTTTGCTCAAGTCTAATGCTCTGCCCCTGAAGCCACAACTCCATTTCTGGGTTTTTTTCTCCCCTCACGATTAATTAGATAAAAGTATCATAGGAATGTGGGTTAGTGGTAAAATGCTTGCCTAGCATTCATGAAGCCCTGGGTTTGATTTCTCAGTACCACATATACAGAAAAAGCCACAAGTGGGCTGTGGCTCAAGTGGTAGAGTACTAGCTTTGTGCAAAAGAAGCTCAGGGACAGTGCCCAGGCCTTGAGTTCACAAGACCCAGGATTGGCAAAAAAAAAAAAAAGTATCACTGACTTTCCTGCCTGGATGGCTTTGAACTGGGATCCTCAGCTCTCAACCTCTGAGTAGCAAGGATTATGGCATGAGCCATGGGTGCCTGGCTCTCATTTGTATTTTTAATGGACACTTCTTTATTTTATAACTGAAAAGAGAGTAATGAGAAAGTCAGACACCCACAATCTGACAGCACCAACTGGTTTGGGAACACTCAGTAGCTTTGAGATCTGCAGGATGATTCTACCCACGCTGCATGTACCATTTTTACAGTGTTTTTCTGTAGAAGTTGCCTTTCCAGATCTCCTACACTTGAAAACTAACTCTAGTTAATAAGCATATTCTCACCTCAGAGAATAGCTTAAAAAACACAAGGTTCACAATTCAAAAAATAGGACAATATATTTCAAGATTTTAAGCTTTCTACTTTCCTGATTTAGGTTACAGTCTCATAATGTTTTTCTCACCTAATGTTTTTCCTCATTTTCTTATCTAAGAAAATGAGCCAGCTTTATTTACTTATTTACTTACTACTATCTACCCAGGCTAGAGTCAAATTATAGTCCTCAGGTCTCAGCCTTCTCAATAGCTAAGATTACAGGTGTAAGCCACGTCACCCATTAGTTTTCGGTTTTGGGTTGTTTGTTTGTTTTTTGTTTTGTTTTGCCAGTCCTGGGGCTTGAATTCAATGCCTGGGCACTGTCCTTGAGCTTCTTTTGCTCAAGGCTAGCAAGCACTCTACCACTGAGCCACAACACCATTTCTGGCTTTTTCTGTGTATGTGATACTGAAGAATCAAACCCATGGCTTCATGAATGCTAGGTACGCACTCTACTACTAAGCTACATTCCCAGCCCCCAGCCATTAGTTTTTATTTCATGATTCTGTAGCTAAAGGCCAGGAAGGACAGTTTAGCCAATATTATCTTAATAACACCATGTTTGCAGGTTGCTAACTAAGCCTAAATTCAGCTTGACTTAAAAGTGGGCCTATTAAAATACTCCATTTTTAAAAGTTGGATCATGCATACATAATTGTTTGTGATACTGTTTTCTGTGATTTTTGTAAATTTTAAATGATAAATACATTTTTCAATCTCAATTTTTTACTATAGGAAATTGTAACCATCTCTAGGGAAAATTGGTTCAAATAAGTTAATTTAAATTCAGTAGTTTAACATGCATATTATCTCTTAAGTAATTGATCTCTTCCCTTTCCTTAAGCAGCAAAAACCAAAGTCATGACTTAAATGAATCATTTTTCTTTTTTTTTTTTTTTTGGGTCCAGTCATGGGGCCTGAACTCTGGGCCTCGGTGCTGTCCCTCAGCTATTCAGCTCAAGGCTAGTGCTCTACCACTTGAGCCACAGAGCCACTTCCAGCTTTTTTCTTTTTGCTTATGTAGTGCTGAGGAATCGAACCCAGGGCCTCAGGCATGCAAGGCAAGCGCTCTACCACTGAGCCACTTTCCCAGACCTCATTTTTCTTTTTTTAACCCAACACTTTCATTATGATAAATATTTACCAACATCAGATGCATTGATAATTTTTACTAAACACACACCCAGACACAAATCCCAAACAGAAAAGGTGATACATTAGAGCTGGCGACCACATTTTCAAAGTGACTTTCAAAATATGATTATGTGGACACAAATTAATATTCTTGAGTCAAGAAAAATATAACATGTATTTTCTGCTTTTCTGAACAATGTGAAATTAAATAACTATTAACAGTATAGGGAAATAAGTGAAAGGTGAATAAAAACAGACCTCAGAAAATCAGCTTGTTAACATATATTACTTAGAAATATTCAGTTCAAGTCAATTCTAAGCTCCAGATACACACATAAACTCATTTGCAATTTTATATGGATGCTGTATGTTGCAGCTATGTGTTAAGATTTTTTTTTTTTGGTCGGTCGTAGGGTTTGAACTCTGGGCTTGGGCGCTGTCCCTGCGCTCTTCGGCTCAAGACGAGTGCTCTACCGCTTGAGCCACAGCACCATTTCCGGTTTTCTAGTAGTTTATTGGAAATAAAGAGTCTCATGGACTTTCCTGCCCCGGGCTGGTTTTGAACCGCGATCCTCATATCTCAGCCTCATGAGTAGCTAGGATTACAGGCGTGAGCCACGAACACCCAGTCAAGATGTTAAGATTTTAAAGGGGAAGCAAGGAGCTGGTGGCTCACACCTTTAATTCTAGCTACTTAGGAGGCTGAGGTCTAAGGATCTTGGTTCTAAGTCAGCCCAGGCAGAAAACTCATGAGATTCTTATCTCCAATTAACCACCAAAAAGCAGGAAGTGAAGCTGTGGTTCAAGTGAAAGAGCACTAGCCTTGAGCGAAAAAAGCTAAGGAACAGGGCCCAGGTCCTGAGCCCAAGCCCCAGTACACACACACACACACACACACACGCAAGCACACGCAAGCACACCCGCGATAAGACGATCAGACACACAACTACAAAATAGAAGCCTTAAAACGCCAACAGAAAGGAAAAGAAAAATCTCCTTAAAACTCCAGAAACTCTCACCCAGAGAAGTGATCATAGGAGGCATGCGCTGCACGTGGTTTGTAATAAACAGCCAAGCAGGCACACACTAGATCGGTGTGTCTATCACTTGTAACACTTTCACTTGTCTTGCCTGAGAAAACCAGTTTTTAATTTTTAAAAGGCTGTAGGTTTTTTTAATGCAACGAAACAGAAGATCAGCATTAGAAAAGTAGGGGGAAAGTTATTCGAAAAATTCAAGGCCTAAGTGCTATTCAGGCTCCACGCCTATCTTAAGAGGTACACTGGGAGTTTCCAGCTGGTCAGTGTAGGTTTCACATACAAAGAAGGAAACCTTTCAGCTTCTCGGCAGGACGGCTGGTGGTTCAGGCAGTTACGCTTCGGGGAGGTGTGCGGAGGGGGGAGAGACAGCCATCGAGCTAAAAGCTCAACCACCGTTGCAAGTTGGCTTACTCACCTAGAAGCAACCAAGGCTTAACAACGCCAACCTGCAGGTCCAAGCTGTGGTCCTGCACGTAACCACAACCACCCCCTCCGCTCGGCTCCACTTCCTCCACCACCTGCATTCGGGCATCTTTCCACGTTTCTATAATTTTCTTTCCAGTTAGCGTGGTCACCCTGGTGCATTGCTTCCTGAGGTTATTCCGGGAGAACGCTTTAATTTCCTGGTTAAGAGAGTGCATCACATGAGCGGTGGCGAGCACAGCGAGGGGTGGAACTGCTCGTGCCGCAACGCGCCCGCAATTAGCACGGCCGCGGGGACGCACAACCCGGCAGGCGACCCCAGCCGCCGCGCTGCGCCGGGAGCCAGACGCCTAACTCGGTCTTTCCCAGAGCGACTATGTAAGGCGAGCTTTGATTGGTCACTGAGAAGCCAGCGCCGATTGGGTGATACTTCTTCTTCCTTCTGACGTAAAACCTGTTTCCCACCCCCCCACCCACACACACACACACATTTATACACCAGCCCAGCAGTAATCTGCTTGGTTTAGTGATGTTCTGGTTTCAGTCTACCTTAATTATACAGACAGACAGGACGGTAAAATGCAAGATTTAATTTGGCGAGAGGATTGATCTTTCCTAGGTTTATAAAGGCAGTGGTTTTCTGGAAAGTTCGACTGGTGTCACTTTATGGTAGTGACCGCCAATGATAATTGGTTATCCTTCCTGATTCCATGTTATCCTGATCGAATGAGGCCAGTGGAGCCACCAGAGGCCTCCCTACCAGTCCTACCTTCCTGCCGGCCTGCCCTAGGTCTACCTTGGGAAACGTTTGGCTTTCTCTCTACTGTTACCACCAAGAGCAACGCTTACTAGCTCAAACTAACAGAACTTTTGTGAGGCAGCAATTTAAATAAAGCCTGAAAAAGATACGCTAACTTTAAAAATCATGTATGCCGCCAGTGACTCACGCCTGTAACCCTAGCTACTCAGGAGTCTGAAATCTGAAAATCCAGGTTCATAGCCAACCTGGCATAAAAGTCTGTGAGACTCTTAACCAATAAGCCACCAGGAAACCGAAAATGTTGCTGGAGCTCAGTGATAGAGCGCTGGCCTTGAGCTGATGAGCTGAGGAACAGAGTTCAAGCCCAATGACCGACAAAAAAAAAAAAGTATGCATAGATAGTATACATAGATATAGATAGATTATTATCAAGTCTTAATTTTGTGTTTGTATTTTCTGAGTTTTTACCTGCTGAAGTACTACTGTA